CCCTCCCCCCCTCCCCGGGCCAGCCAGTTCCAATGCCTCACCACTCTTTCAGTAAAGACATTTTTCCTAATATCTAATCTAAACCTCCCCTGGTGCAGCTTGAGCCCATCTCCTCTCATCCTATCACTAGTAACTTAGGAGATGGGGCCAACACCTGCAGGGTGGTCCCTGCTTAACCTGCCCTTCACACCCTCTCTCTCTCCTTGCCCAGGAGGTGCCAGCCCCTGCCGATGGCTCTGTGTGGCCATGCGGCCTGTGCCCTGGATGGTGCTCTCTACGTGTCGGGGGGATGTGACGAGGTGTCCCAGTGCCAGGCATCCTTGCTGCGCTACGACCCGTCTGCGCCTGCCAGGCTCCTGGCGCCCATGAACGGCCCGCGAGCCGGCCACGTCATGGAGGAGGCAGGTGGGCAGCTCTATGTGGCCGGGGGGCTGTGCCAGCGGGACGGCTACACTGGCTACAAGGACCAGCTGGCCTTTGAGGTCTACAGCCCCAAACTGAACATCTGGGTCCTCCTCAACCCTCTGCCCCGGGCCCATGTAGTTGGGGGCGCAGCTGTGCTGGGGGGGGAACTGCTTGTACTGGGAGGGTACAGTCGTGAGACCTACCAAGACACCCACTTGATCCACGCCTACCAGCCGGGCTCCCGGCGCTGGATCACCCGGGGCACCTTGCCCCATGCCTATACTGACCTCCAAGCCTGTGTCCTCACTGTACCCCCTGCCTTGCGTGGTCCCAGCTGCCTTGGGGATCCCTCAAGATCACCTGAAACCTCCAATAATATTTAAGGGGTGCTTAAAAGCTCGACAGCCCACCCTGGGATCCCCTGGTAGCATCATATGGGCACTTCTATGGGATGAAATCACCCCCAGATGTTCTTCCGGAATGGGTTCCTCCTGTGGTTTCCAGCAGCTCACACCCCACGGGTACATGCCCAGTTTGTAGGGACCCTGTGGGACACAAAGACTCCCCACACTGCAACCCTGTGCCTCCAGGAATACTCACTCCCCTGCACCAGGCCCTTCACTGGGAGCTGGGGAACCCCCAATTGCCCCCACACTTGGGTTGAATAAAAGTGGCTCCTCAACTGCCCATTTGGGTCTTGTTCTTTCTGCTGGGGAACCCAGACATCCACGTGCTTCTTGGAAGGAACAGGAGGAGAGCAGGAGAGCAACAGCGTGAGTGTCCTGGATGGGTGGTGGTGGGGACCAGGAGGTGGATGAAGGGCACTGGGGCTCTGCGTGCCTGCATGTGTTGGGCACGGGGGAGAGGGTGCGTGTCTCAGGATTGAGGGACATTTTGGGTTCCTGGTAGATCCTTAGGGAATAGGAAAGTCCCAGAGGTGCCAAGCTTTGGGGAGCAGGTGGCAGGGTCAATGGGGTGCTCTGGGGTTTCTAGGTGGTTCTGGGAGGTCTTGACTTCCCGGAATGACCTAGAGAGCCTGGTGTCTGGAGAGCTGAGAGAATCCTAGGGAGGACTTGCAAGGGCGAGTGTCGGTAATAGGGACTGTGGGTGATACTGGGGCACCAGTGGTACCTTTGGGGACGGGATTGGGAGTCCTGGGTTGTGTAGGGGAGCGTTGCAGGTTCTCGTGACGCCCCAAAACAGTGTTTTAGATGTGGTCTAATGAAGGCTGAGAAGAGGAGGATAATCACTTCCCTTGGTCTACTGGCTGTGCCACCCTTCACCCCAGCCCAGGCTTCTGCTCCTCGTGCTTCACTGCCAGGGTGCAGTCCTGGAACTTGCTCACCTTCCTGTTGCTCTGCTGCCCAGCCAGTCTGTCGCCCCTCTGTTGTGGTCTTCCTTCCAGGGTACAGGACTTTGCATTTGCCCCTGTTTCTGGCAACCTGTTTACCCAGGGTGAAAGGTGCTCCCCCACTGGTAGTTGCTAACTGATCTCTCCCAACCCGGTGTCATGATAAAAACCACACTCAGTCACCTCCTCCAGCCCCTGGACACTTTGTCCTAGTATGATCCCTTACAAGTCACATCCATTGTCCTCCAAAGCCTCCTGCTCTTCTGCCCCCATCTCCAGCCATCCCACGGTGGGTCATCCAGAAGCACCTGCGTCACCACTGCCTGAACTTATTATGTGCTGGTGGGATGCTTTTCCCATGTGGTTCAATTCCACAAGGAAGGATCACACATTCGGGGCAAGAGTCAGGAAGCTGGGACTTTTCCTCTCTGTCTTCACTGTTGTAAGTTCTAGAGACAATTTTGTCATTCACTGTCCCCTGCCAGAACCGCGGGAAGTCCAATGAAATGAAACCAGCTTGCGTTTGTAATTGAGAATGTTTATTCTGCGATTAACAACTCGACACCGAGGTGGAAGCGTAGCGCATCTTTACGGCATCATGCAAACAGAAGCGGTTGGTTCACGGAGTACAAAGTAAGCTCTGCTTTTCCACACCCACCCCGAAACCAGGCAGTGGCAGCCCCAAGCCATCGCTGACCATGTTAGGACATCTTGTCCCTCTGCCAAGCACTCAGATAATTGTTTCAGATCTAGAGACCTCAGGATCTGTGAGAGCAATACTAGAGGAAGGAGCTGCGTCTCTTCTCCCTGGGCAAGGAGATCTTTTCCCTGTAAATCACGGGTACGTGAAGCAGAGCCACAACCCTCTGTCTCCTTCTCAGAATTCACAAAAGCATTTACAAGGTGTTGCCAGCGTATTTCACTCTGACATCGCCAATGGCCTTGACACCCCTGTCCAGGCTGTAAGCAGAAGGGGTCCTCAGTGAGCTGAGGTTTGTCACCGTCAGCTTTCTGGAGACAGGCTTGACCGAAATGCCCTGAGGACCACAGTGAACCCACAGCTCCTTCGTGGTGCAGAAGGAGGATCTTGCAGGAGGACTGTGCTGCACCCCCAGGTCTTTAATCGTGCAGTAAGTGACCTCAGGGTACAACTCTACTTCCTTGATGGTGCAGAACATGGGGTGCTGGAGGGGGGTTTTGAAGCTGCTGAGCTGCATCTCAGTGGTTCCGTACGGCTCCCTGGGCTTCAGCAGCGGATGCCGCACCTCTTGGGTCTGCAGGGACTTGTGCCAGGAGGGCCGTCCCACCAGACACATCCAGGCCAGCCAGCCTGCGAGAGCCAGCACGGTCAGGACCAGCAGAGCCAAGGAGGCCAGGTAGAGCACCCAGTGCAACAGGCAGCAGTGCCTCAGCACCCACTGCCCCCACTGCGGACCCTCCCCGCCCGCCCGCGAGCGCAGCATGTGCGGAAGCAGTCCTGGGGCGGAGCATGGGCAGAGCGGAGGTGCGGGTGGAGGGGAAGGTGCAGGCTGGGTGGGGTGTCCAGGTGTTGTGTCCAGGGGAGCTGGCGCTGTTGGGGCATGACTGGAACGCGTGGTGGTGATGGTGGTGGATGATGGCAGAAGAGGAGATGATGATCTGACAGCAGAAGAAGAGGTCTCCAGCAGGGCAGTGGAAGGCAGTGCCATAGAGGTGCCACTGGACACCACGGGCATGGAATGGGTGTTGCTAGTGCTGGTGGCAAGAGTGGTCTGGGGACGGCTGCTGGTGCTGGCAGCTCTGGTGCTCACAGTGGTTGGCGGAGAGGTTGTGGGGACAGGGGTGGTGGCTCTGTGAGGGGTGCTGGCAGGAGCAGAAATGAGAATGACGGCAGTGCTGGGGGTCTGTGTGGCTGTGACAGTGAGACTGGTTGGCACAGGAGTTGTGGTGCTGGCACCTCTGGAAATCACAGGTGAAGTACATGGGGTGAGGGTGGGGCTACAGGGGGTGCTGAGGGGAGGCGAGGTGACAGCGGGGATGGGGGGAGGTGAGGTGAAGGCGGCGGCCGTGCTGGCTATCTCTGTCGGTTCTTCCTCGTAGTTGTGCGCGTCCGCATCCCCCACGCTGTTGCAGCTGGAGTTGAAGTCGATGACGGGCATCTTCTGATGCTTGACGGGGCTGTGGCACAGCACCCTCTCAGGGGCGACCTCCACCTTTGTCTTCTCCCGGCCCCGCTCTGGCTGATAGACGCTGTCTTCGTTCTGCAAGATCCAGTTCCGCAGGTAGCACAGGTCGCAGTCACAGTGCCACGGGGAGGAAGACGTACATGAAGTCATGCCCCTCGGGGAAGAAGTCGGCGGGCAGGGTCCGCAGGAGGTTCCCCGAGAGCCAGAGGGTCTCCAGGTTTTCCAAGTCCTGTAGCAAATCCTTGGGGAGCTCTTCCAGGAGATTGTCGGAGAGGTCCAAGTATCTGAGCGCCGTCAGCCCCATGAAGATCTCCTGGGGCAGCGTCCGCAGGCGGTTCCCTCGCAGGTCCAGGTCCCGCAGATCATGCATGGCGTGGAAAGTCCCCGGGGCCAGCGTGGTCAGTCCCCGGGGCCAGCATGGTCAGGTTGTTGTGGGCCACGGCCAGGCGGGTGAGGTTGCGCAGACCCACCAGAGCGGGCAGGGCCCCCAGCGCGTTGCGGGAGAGGATCAGCTCCCTCAGGGTGGGCAGCGGGTCCTCGGTGTGCAGAGCCGCCAGCCCGTTGTCGGACAGGTCGAGGTCCTGCAGCTGGGTCAGGTTGTAGAAGGCGGTGGTGGAGACGGACACCAGGCGGTTGGCGCTGAGCAGCAGGATGCCCGTGTCCGCAGGCAGGCCGAGGGGCACGGCGCTGAGATCCTGCTCCGTGCAGTTCACCTCCAGGATGTCCTTGATCTTGTTCATCTCTGACGGGCAGGGCTGGCCGGGGTCGGAGGCGCTGGCCGGGGGGCGCCGGGGCCGCAGGACGCGGCGGCGGCGGGGGATGGCTGGAGGGGAGAGCCGAGCTGGGCACACGGGCAGGTGCGAGCACACACACCTCCCCTTCTGCCTGTGCCAAACCCCTCTGCAACGGAGCCTCCGGGAGCCCCCTGAGCCCCCAGCTCTTCCCTGTGAGAAGGGAAGGGACAGAGGAGTCCCACACCTACTGCCCGCCCGTCCCCTCACCCTGGCAGGGCAGCAGGCTCAGTGAGGAGACACCGTCTCTGCCCTTTCGCTGCCCTCACCCTCCTCTGTGGGAGGGAGATCCTCTCTCACGTCCCTCCCCACAGCGATGCCTCCCGCGCTGGGGCGGCTTTGCTGCCCTTGCCCCTGCAAAAGCAGTGGCTCCGCTGTGTTCCTGTCCCTGCACACCCAGCCTAGCCCAGCCCAGGCAAGCCGTGTGCTGGAAGAGCCTCGAACGTGCCCTCATCCAGAGCCAGCTGATTCCTCCGCTGGAGTTTGGTTGGAGCGTGAATCGTGAGAAAAGAGCTTCCCTCACACGGCCGTGGCCGTGCCCGACAGACACAGCTTCCCTGGGACTCCCCCACGGACCCTCCAGCATCGCTCTTGGGCAGCTTCGCCTCCCTCCTGCCCGGGCTCTATCAGCACCCACAGCTGGGAAGAAGGAGCTGCTGCTTCCTGAGCAGCCAAAACCAGCTCCTGCCCTCCAGCACAGCCCTCGCTTTCGCTGCCACATCGCCACATCACCCTCTCCTTGGAAGAGACTCCACTGGAGACCAGCTCCATCATTCCTTGCTTCTGTGCAGGAGAGGAGGGACAGCTGCACCCAGGGCAGCCCTTGCACGCACCCCTGCCCCCCACACCACGTCTTTTTACCTCTCAGAAAGGGGTCCCTTGCACAAACGTCCGCTCCTTCCTCTGCTTCAAGGCAGCTCTTTCTCAGCACACTGGGCTTCATTCCTGCAGGCACCTCAGCCTGTGGACCCCAGACCAGCTAGAAACTGCACGTTACCTTGGCCAGTTGTTCGTGGTGTAGGCGAGGGATCCTTCCTTTCTGGCCTGCCAGGAAACGTGGGGATGGCTCTTCTGGGGAGCTGGGAGGCAGCTTTAACGGTGCAGCAGAAGCCGCAGCACAGCCCAGGCAGGGAGATTAGGAGGCAGAGGAAGGAGCTCGGTTTTGGTTCCTCCCGCTCTGTTCCTGCAGCCAAGCTGGCTCCACTTCCCTGGCTCACAGGTCACTGCCCAGCATCTGGGGCTGCAGGGCTGGAGGGTCCCCAGAAGCTGCAAGGGGAGATGCTGCAGAGGAGGGGAGATCTGGTTTCCTACAGCGTGTGGTGGTGGGTCAGCCCGGGCCAGCAGCTGAGCACCCACCAGCTGCTCTGCTCACCCACTGCCTCTGGAGCGGGATGGGGCGAGAACCGGAAAAGCAAAAGTGAGAAAAAAACTTTGTGGGTCAAGACAGTTTAATGAATGAAGGAAAGAGGAAGAAGAAAAAGTGCTGCAAAAGCATCCCCTCACCATCTCCCCCCAGCAGCTCGAAGCACGGCCAGTTCTCAAGCAATGGTACCTTGGAAATTTCCCCCCCTCTGACTCCCCAACTCCCAGTTTGGTTTGGGAGCACAACACCACAGGGTTCGGTCTATCCCTCTGGTGCACTGGGGGCCCTGCTGTGCCCACTCCCGCTCTCGCCCCCTGCCCACCCGCTGCAGGGGCACCTCAGTCCCGCCGGGGGGGTAAGAGGCCCCGAGGCAGAGGCAGAACTTGGTGGGGCTGGTTTTTAGCTCTGCATCGGCCATCGCCAACAGAAAGCCAGGGATGGGAAGGGAGAGGAGACTATGTACCCTGGGGTTATGTACCCAGGGTTATGTACCCTGGCCTTCTCATAGGATTAACCTTGCACGTGGTTCCCTCTTCTGCACAGCACCGCTCTTACCCTCCTCACCCCGGAGCTAGAGCTGACACCACCCATCAGTCTCGCACGCCACGGCCCCAAGGCACAGCTGCTGTCCTTGCTTCTGCCCCCCTGTCTCCCTTTGCCAGGTGGAGGAATGCACAAGGACACCCTGAGCGTTCCAAAGGTCCTCCACGCCGCCTGCTTCACTCCTGGGAGGAGAAGGAGCAGAAGAGCCAAGCAGGCCACTGCAGTCGGCCTTGCTGGAGGGGAAGGGGCGCGCTGGCCCAGAGGAAAGGGGAGCTCAGGTCAGGAGTCGTCTGCAGGCGCGCTCTGCCCATGAGCGGGTGAGGAGGAGGCCAGGAGAGATCCTGGGGTCCTGACATCGACGCATGGGGGTCAAGCACAGCCGTGGGCTGATCCCGCCGGCGTGCCTCCGCTGTGTCCTGCGGGATGGGGTGATCCATCTTCTGAACAGTGCCTGCAAGTCCCCACAGGCTGAAAGGAGATGGAGACAGCGCCTCAGACACAGGCAGTTGGTGCTGACACACCTACAGACAAATCCCGATGAAGCGACTTTATTCCGCGCATTTAAAACCGTTCCCTGCTGCAGGAGTGTCTTTCAGTGGAAGTGCTGTTCAACAGGCAGGGAGCGAGGATGAAAGGCAACAGTCACGAGCTGCAGTTGGGGAAACTCTGACCAAGCCTAAAGGGTTAATTCTTCCCCTTGAGAGCTGCGGCACTGGGGCAGAACTCCAGAGAGGGGACGAGATCTCCGTCCCTGGAGATCCTGCACAGTTCAGCTGAACAAGGTCCAAAGACTCCTGAGGCAGTTTGAGGTCAACTCTTCCATGAGTCGGTGGCTGTAACAGAATTGTCAGTGAGTTCCTTCCAACCTAAATCATTCTGTGAGTTTGCACTCCTGAGGTGCCCTAAAGAAAAGCCTTCTCTTACTTCCTCCCATCAGGGACACATTTTGAGCCACGTCCCTGGACCCAGCCAGACCCAAGGGTGGACTCTGACCCCCTCGAATAACACCCCTGGAAATGTGAAGATGGGAATTCCCTCATCAACACTGAAGAATGTCACCCGCCTCTCTTCGTAATCCAGAGAGACCCGGATCTGCTTGGGAGCCTGGATTTCAGGAAGGAGAGTGCGAGTAGGGTACGTGAAAGCTTGGAAGTGCCCTGCCCACACCCCCACTGCCCAGATGCCCTCCTCCGGTTTAAACTCAAGATCGCCCTTCCTTATCACATCTTCTCTCGAGACGCCCACGGCCCATCCTCCTGCGTCCGCCACCTCCACCTCCCAGTAGCATCTCCCCGAGGTGAAGCCTTCGCAGCTCAGCACACAGCGCCATGGGTTAAATCTCTCAGGGGTGTCGGGGACGTCCTGCCGCTTGTCTTCTCGTCTCACACTTTTGCAGTCATGGGACAGGACAAGGTCACAGTGGGCTGTGTCTGCATCCAGAACCACGTTCACTGCAGGAGAGAAGGAGTCAACGCATGAGGGCAGAGCTCACCCCGGGAGGGATCTGTGCTGGGGCTGCCCAAGGAAGAAGAAGAAGGGCGCAGGCGATGGCTGGCAGTCCGTGGCATGGGAAGCTGCACGAGGGAACAGTGCTCAGGCAAGGAACAGAAAAGGAAGCAGAGAGATGACACCGAGCAGAGAGGGAAGAGGATCGTCAGCAGACCTCCAGGCTGAAGAAGTCCCCACGTCCTTAAGACGCGGCCAGCGCTGCTCGCTGGGGAGAGAACTCTCCAGATTTACCTGAAACTGGAGCAGGCACCAAACAAACAAGGGTCTGAGTGTCACCCTTCTGTAAATCGGGGGTGGGCAGAAGCAGCCCCAGTCCCACCAGCATCACTGTGGGACAGGAACAACCAGGAAGGGAGACTAAAGCAGGGAAGAAGATTCAGCAACCTGAAAGAGCAACCGTTAATTACCTTCTTCTATAGGCACTGCATATCTTCTCCAGGCTTTAAAAAAAGACAAAAAGCCACAGATGAGAGTTGATCTGAACACTAAACTTGTACTGGATTAGCCCAGGAAAATGATATCCCGTGTAGTTAACTTTTTCTGAATTGTTGCTGTATTTGTGAAACCCATCTCTCAGAATGTAGCTTTACAACTTCGATGTCTATCTACACAAGAGGGCTCCCCCCCATTTTCTACAAACATAATCACGCTGCCTGTCCTGAACCAGCCTTATATTTACGGCCTGTTTGTACTTCCTTTGAAAACTGAAAGAATTTTCTTCTTGGTATAGAAGTGAATAACTTTAAAACACATAGAGAGCAAAGGAAAATACTGTTTCTGAAACGAGTTCAGTGCGTGCTACCTCCTCCTTCCCCAAAAGGAGAACAAAGCCAGGGCATGCATTCGAAACCCAGGTGAGGAAATGGCCCAACTGGAAAATCTCCCATGTAGGAAGGAGAATGATACTCACCAAGTTCTTCAGCTTGCTTCTCTGAAAGAGAAAAAAATTCAATACAAATGGGTTGTGGGACATCGGTTTGGGTAGAACCTCTCCCGTAACCACCCGCACGTGCAAAAGAGCAGGTTTCTGCCAACACTTGGCGATGCAAAGCCCTTTCCAGCCCCAGCCCGGAGCTCTGCTCTGCAGGCCATGGGGCAGATTGTCCTGCTCCAATCTGGGGCAGGAAAAGGTCTCTGGGAGGTCCCTCGTAGGCACCGTCACCGAGTGACCATTGCAGTCACCCAGCCCCAGGCACCACCTTCGATCATCTTCCCTTTCCTGATTCTCAGATTCACTCTCTCCTTTCTCCCCTGGTAGGGGAAAAGCACATGCTTTGGAAGTGAAAATGAAAAAAATAAAATCACCGCCCTCTACAGACTCTGTAAAAATTCCTCTGCAGGGAAGAGAAGGAGACTCACCGATTTCTGCATTGCAGCGCCCTGAACAAGAAACAGAAACACACGTGAGTCACAGTTTGTCCCACTCCCTCCAGGAGCCAGGCTGGGAGGAAGGGGTAGACCCACTGATTTCATAGATTTTGTAGAATCATAGACTGGCCTAGGCTGGAAGGGACATTAGAGATCATTTAATCCAACCTTCCTGTCGCCAGGGATGCCACCTCCCCTCTGGCTGCAAGGATGCTCATGATTCCTGAGCGAGCTCACCCGTATTTATTTTCCCCATCACTTATTTCCCCCTGCCTTGGCACCAGCTTAGCAAGAGCTCGTTTTCAATGGCCAAGGGGCTATTTTGTGGCAATTCTATGAGCAAGAAGGCAAACAAGTCTTTCTGGTTATTTTTTAAGGTTTTGGCAACAAATCAATCTATATTTTTTACAGGAAGATTCTGAAATCTTGTCCTGAAAACAGTAACTTTTCAGTAGTGTTTCACTACTTCAATTAAAATGAGACTCCTAAAAATCATTGACTCAGGCAAGAAATCCTGATGGCTTTTCAGAGTGAATTTTCACAGTATTGGGGGAGTCAGGGGAGGGGGAAGTGTCTGCCTAAAAGCAATATTTGGACAGACTGAGAGGGTGAATAGAAAAGTCTGAAAGTTTTCACAGAGGACGGGGAGCAAGACTTACGCAGCGCTGCCTCTTGCGTCCCTGAAAAACAAAACCAGCACAGAGCATCACCACCCGCGTGATTCCTTTTTCCTCCGACAGACTTGTTGGGTTGCGGAGGAAGCTGAAATTCCTCATAGCCCAGGAGCTCCTCAAGCCTCTTCTTCTCAAAACCTTTGGAGATCTTGCCCACGCTCCTGGAAGGCACCTTGGGCAGAGCCCAGCGCCGCGGGGCTGGAGACCTGAGCGAGGGCTCCTCCAGCTCCAGGGCAGCGGCAAAGGGGCAGGTTTGGAGCACGGGGTGAAATTTTGCCTTTGGTGCTCTCTAACTGTCCTATTCTTCCTCCAGCTTTGGGAGGAGCCCTTCAAAAAGTAAAGTTTGCTGTTCGTAGAAGATCCCTTCACGCTTTCTTTCCTTCTGCTGTAATTTCCCTTCAAATTCCAACTTGATTTCATAATTTCACCATTCCATAAATTAATTTCATCATTTTCTATAGCCGCTAGCCAAAGCATCTCCCTTCCCCACATCCCCCAGAAATGAATTCTTCCATGTGGGGAAATTCAGCGCTGGCTGGAGCACAAGTGCTGCAGTCCCCCAGCTCTGGCCCCTTTTGATAGGACACAGAGGATTTTCAGCTTTATTCCTCTGTAGTATTTGTAGTCTTTTGGAAGGAAAAGAAGCCTTGCCAGGCCCCCAAAAGTAACTTTTTTTTGTTTTTGCAGGGCCAGGCAAATCATTGCTCCGTTCCTGCAGGCAGAATCCACCCTGGGCTGGGGTGACACCCACGTGCTCTGACACCCACGTCCTTCTTGCTGGCAGAGAAACAGCCTTTCTGTTCTTGCCAGCAATTAAATCCGTGGGTCTTTAAGTACATGGTTCCGAGACAAGACTCTGGGACTGTCCAGGGATTTCTCAAAGCCACTTGTCCCTCAAAGCCAGGGGCGGCTGAGCAGGACCCCCGCCCAGCCCCACACGCGGCGCCAGGACGATACCTTTAATTCTGAAGAGATAAACTGTGACAGCGAGGAGAGAGACCGCAGCCACCACCGCCACACCCAGGGCGATCCTCCAAGGGTGGGCGTTGTGGAAAAAGGGATCTGAAAAATAAAAATCCCCTAAGGGGTTACTCTGCAAGGAGTAATGGGAAGCAATTGGTTATTTCTATTTCATACAAGCTCATCCCAAGCAGGTCTGGATCCCATCGAAAATCAGCTCCAGAAAAGAGAAAACGTAATGTGAAATAAAATAATCCATTTGGGCAGTTTAGCACTTGTCTGAGGTTGGTGCCGCTTTGTGTGCATATATTGTGAGGGATTTTTAAAGGGCGAACGGATTTTGAAACTAATTATTTCTAGTCAAATCATGATTTCTTTTTCTTTGGAAAAAATGTTGTATTTCATTAGGCAACATAGGACCAGAAACACGGTAACATGTGCGTCACCAGCAACACTCCAGAGCAGTATCGCCAGGAGAAAGTTATCGGATGCCCAGGGAAAGAAAGTCTTCCCAAATTGTTCATTCCCAAGGTAAAAAAGGAGCAGGAGGCAGCTGGACACACGTGACACTGTGGTGCAGTCGGACCATTTCACTGCTGCATCTCTGTTCTGACACATTCCCCATCCCACATCAGTCTCCCAGTAAAAAAGGACATTTTTCTGTGTGATGAGGAAAAAAATAAAAATCCATTTCACATGTGCCGACACTAAAAGGAGACCCAACGACTGGTTTCTCATCCCAAAGCAGTAGAAAGGGATTTCACAGCAGGAGGGACTGCGGGCACGGGCTGGCTTCTCCTTCGCAGTTTTGTTCTACATTTGCATCTAACCCGGGTGGGTGCAGAAATCCTGCCCCAGGGAGGGGGCTTCACTTCCAGGACGGGTGAATTTTGGCTGCACGTCTGCAAAAGGTGCAAACGCCGCCAGCAAACAGCACCCCGGGTTTTCTGCCTCCCAAGGGCAGCTCCATGGGGACGCCCTCGTCCTCTGCTCACCTGACACGTAGAGAGCCAGCTCCTGTTCCTGGCTGTGCACGGCGCTTCGGACCGAGCAGGAGAGCTTCTGGCTCGAGTCCCTGGTGAGGATGATGATGCTCTCCACGGCAAAGAGCCCGCTCGTGTCTTGGGTGACGTGTTCTGCGAGGGGCGGGAGGTGCCAC